TAAAAATAATTTGTGTATAACACTTTAGTCAGTTTTCTTTTTAAATTTTATTTAAGTGTCTTTAATATGGCTCTCTTTGCTGTTTGCAACATGCGTAATTATATACATAAATGTTGAAGACAGATTCTACTGTAAAAACACCGGAATTTGCAGCGAACATTTTCTGTGCAGTGATTAGGAAGTGATGCGCCTTGGAATGAAATCGCTTGCTTGGATAAAGCAAAAGAAACTGTTGAAAAATGCAATACTGTGCCGAAAGTAAATTTATGGTGTGCAGTAAACGAAATAACACTAAGAAATCAGAGACATTTGAATAGAAAAACTAGTGCAGAGGGCTTTGAAAAACTACAAAGTTCCGCCCAAGAAAATTATTTTGAGGCCGAGAAAATTGAAGCTTAATAATCTCAAATGTTAATGATTTTGTAAAAAACTGCAATGACAATGCCCTAAGAAATCCCTTTTTCCAAAGAATGCTGTTGATATAAGTGAAGAGCAATAATCCTTATAATATAATAAAATTGAAAAATAGATAAAAAAATCTATGATGTTTTTCTCGATCATGGACAACATTCTAGAAAGAAATTTGTATTGGAAGTTCAAATTAAATCCCAGGAGGCTTTTGGAAACGTCCAAGTTTTATTTTTCCCCTTTCCAAAACCCTAAAAAAACTTGAACTTTGGGAAGATTCAATTGTCATAAAGGCTCTCGTCTAAAAGGATTTTTGGAAAGGGACCTTCTTAGAGCACAAAAGAAAACAAATTTTGCTCCAGGAACGAGTGATTCTTGCTAATGAAGAAAGATACGCAAATTTTAATTCCACCTTACAGGAAACAAAACATATAGATTCTAACTCTTCCATGACTTATTGAAGCCAAATCCTTTTGTCCTTTTAAAAAATGCGCATTTGGAATTCAAGCTCATAACAATGGAAAAACAATTTTTTGGTTAGACCTCTTAGTGATTAAGAGTTTAAGAAAATCCCTCTTCCAACAAGGAATAATTCAATCTTTTTGGCCTACACCTTATTTGAAATCATACGTATGATGCTAAATATATTTTAACCTCTAGAACTAGGAACTCCTCTTCAAAGCTCTTTAGTTTAATTGAGGGCTTGTAGGTTTAATGACCATCCATCTCCTAGTATTAACCGCTTAATTAATACTTGCTAATAAGCTGCCAAATTTATCTTTAAAAGGATCAGCAGAAATGATTCTTTTTAAATCAGAAATACTTGAAAGGGCTTTGAAAACTGAGGAGGAAGATGCTTTTCTATTAAATACTATTGATGATTTGGATTTCACAGAGGAACTCTCTCCTATGGCTTGGGAATTAGAATTGAATTCCGCCAGATAATTTTTGACTGCTGAAAAAGAAGCATTAACATATGTTGCAGATTATACTGCCTACCGTGTGTGAGACAAAGACCCATCATTGGGAACAGTATCTAAAAATAGTGCTGATGAACCAATATTTAATTGAGAATGGATTAAATTATTGTCCTTAGGAGGTTTGACTACACCTCCCCATTCATGGATGAATACAGTTTAGGAGTTCTAAAACATATTTTGTGCAGTTCATGGTACAACTTAAAGGGAAGCATGTAATTGGCTCTTTAATTAATAAACTGGAGAAACATTATCCTGAAGTTAACAGAGAAGCAATTCATTTATATTGCAGAGTGCAAACTTTTATTAGAATGCGTTTCTTAAATAGAAATGCATATGTTTTTTCCCAAAGAAAAGCAACCCAAAAGGCAAAAAGGGATTGCTTCGAATGTGGCTGCCAATAAATATTTCAACAACTTGAGTTGCATTGTGACTGTACAAGTAAGCATATATAATATGTGTTGATTTGAAATATTTCTAGATGACATTTTAGAAGTTAATAGCATAAAGCATATTTCAAATGAGAACTAATTTTGTTAAGTTATATTTATATTGTATCCTGTGTTATGATTGGTTCGATTTTGTGCTAGCTTAGCATTCTAGATAAAATATATAATTGGTATAAGAAGACCTGCCTCCTTAACCCCCCACTTTTGAAAAATTAATTTTTTTTTTTTTTTTTTTTTAGGTACTATGAGTAAAGTTGTTTTGTCTAAATTAAGATAACTATCTTACATGTATTTATTTAAATGTAATATTAATGTAAGCCTAAGCTACAAAATCATTAAAAAAATATATGTTATATTGAATTGGGAGAAAAATATGTCAATGTAAAATTTACAATTAGGTTGAAACTCAAACTTAGATTAGCAGAAATTTTGCCATATATAACATACATGTTTAAAACTATGCCAATTTAAGGTTGTTTTTTGATTAATTTTAAATAGCTGTTATTATAGTTATCTTAGAAGCATTAGCAGAGTTCTCTTAGTTAACATGCAGGTAAAGAAATGATTAGAAATAAACAGTCATTTAAAAAAAATCCCTGCAAATTAAAAAAAAAAAAAAAAAAGGGAACTTTATGCTAAGTAGCACATTTTATCTATTATTTTAAAATTGAGTAAGTACTATTAAATTTTTTGATGTTCAGTGTAAAATGCATACTGCAGTAATATTGTCTCTTCTAAATTATAGCTGTCTTTCACACACAGCTCATTTTAAACGCTGGTTCTTCAAATTTAAAACGCTAATTTCTATGTTGTCAATTGCATCTCCACGCTCAGTGTCATCATGGCTACGTCATCACTCGCGACTGCCTGTTTCAGAGGGAAAAGTTCTATGAGCTAAGTTGGGACTGGACCCCATTCTGATAATCCAAAATTTGAATAATCGTATTTTTACTGAAGAAAGAGCTGCATACACTTTAGTTAATTACTGTATGTTGAAAATGGGAGGAAAAACTATTTAAAAAAAGATTTTTTTTCCCATCAAAATGATAAAGCAACACTTTTGTGTAGATGTTATATAGAGCACTGTACAGTACTTGCAAGTGCTGAAACATCTCAGTCAAAGTAAGCTGCTTGACTATCTTTATCCGTTTTCGGGCAGCCAAGTCACGCATCCGCTTGGCAATGAGAAGTTGCATGTGGTCATACTCGGGCTGACATTCCATTCAGTTCATCACAGTTTCAATAAGTTCATCATAAGTTTTAAATGCTCTTTGGCCTTTTTCACTTTCTTATCAACAAAAGGGGCCTTTTATGGCTTCACGTGGGGACTTAAAGTAATTTACTGTATTTGACGGCATATAAGATGCACTTTTTTTCCTAAATTTTGTCTCAAAAAAGTTAACTGCGTCTTATACGTGAAGGACACAGGTTAACTTTCAATACTGAATGCTATTTTTAACCCGGATAAAGGTCTAGACACACGTAACTTTTTCTACATCTGCCATAATTATTTTGTGCATGCGTGAAATATCTGTCACCAAAAGCGCCAAGGCTCGAAGCTGATATCGAAGTTCGAACAGGTTCGACGGTCACATTACATCTATGGAGCCTTTCCTTCTTTACATAGACATTCTTTGACTCAACTGACACACGTGTCAGTCAAAACTACCGCCGTTTTTCATATTCAAAAGAAAAACTTCCAACGGGTGTAATTGTTCATGTTCATTCAAAAGGCTGGATGGACGAAGCTGGAATGAAACTGTGGTTACAGAGCATATGGTCCGGGCGACCTGGTGGACTCTTTTTAAGAAAACCCTCTCTTTTGGTTTTGGATCAATTTTTAGCGCCCATAGGATTGAAACCATAAAGAATAAAGCGGGAGGATTAAAAACCCAGATAGCTGTCATTCCTGGTGGACTGACTAGCCAATTGCAGCCTTTAGATGTATTGGTGAATAAGCCATTTAAGGAAAAACTGCGACGATGGAACAAGTGGATAGGAGAGCCACATCACGCCCTCAGGTAGAATGAAGCGGCCCTCTGTTTCACAAGTGTGCAAGTGAGTAAAAAGATCTTGGGAGGACGTAAAGGCTGAAGTGATTGTTAAGTCCTTTAAGAAGTGCAGAATCAGTAATGCTCTTGACGGAACAGAAGATGAGGCATTATTCGAAGAAGGTGATACTAGTGATGATGGAAACAGTAGTGATGACAATATTCTTGTTTTCGATGATGATGATAGTGAAAAGGATTTTTATGGTTTTGAAAGTGATTAAAGTCTAATTTCATGATAGGCAATGTTTTCCTTGAATCTGTGTTTTTTGTTGTTTCTGCTTTATTTTGTATTATGTTTGATTGCTTGCCGTTTTGTTTATTCATTTATTCAGTATTGAAATTTACATATAATGTTTAAAATAGCTTGCCGTTTGTTAATTTTCCTTAATAAAAATATGTTTAGTACTTGCATTCAATGATTGTTTATTTGGCTTTTACGAAACGTGAGAACTAAAAGAAACCACATTGTGACTATTGAAACTTTTTTCCCTTGTGTGTGGCCTTCTAAATAAGGATGCGTCTTATATGCCGTCAAATATGGTAATTATATTATGGGCACTGCTATTCATACCAAAGTAAAATGAAAATACTACTCCAGATGAAGTGCATTGTTTCTATAGTCAATGTTCTGTAGTCATCATCAAAAGAACCATACTTAAGTGGTGTATACTGTATTTGACGGCATATAAGATGCACTTTTTTCCCTAAATTTGGTCTCAAAAAAGTTACCTGTGTCTTATACGTGAAGGTAATTGCATTCAATAATTGTTTATTTGGCTTTTACGAAACGTGAGAACTAAAAGAAACCACGATATTGAAACTTTTTTCCCTTGTGTGTGGCCGTCTAAATAAGAGTGCGTCTTATATGCCGTCAAATATGGTACTTTTTAATTCCATTTATTACTTTCACAGTTCTATTCATTATATTTAATGTTATCCTAGGTCTTGGGAATATAACTAGTAGTATATTTTAATGATATGTTCAAATCATTCTTTTCCATCAATATGTGCTGTGTAAACTGTAAATAATTATAGAAAACATATTAATATAGATTTATATAAAAAATTTAACTGCTCAAAATGTAATTTTAGCATACTTATTCTTTGTTTTACAGAGGAATATGTCACGTGTCATACTTGTCGTTCTCCAGATACAATTCTACAGAAAGATACAAGGCTGTTCTTCTTACAGTGTGAAACGTGTGGTTCGCGTTGTTCTGTCGCTAGTATAAAATCTGGTTTCCAGGCTGTGACTAGTAAACGTGCGGCTATTCGAGCTAAAACAGCTTAATCTGAAAATAACTTTTGTACGTTTATTTTATAAAATAAAATATGCAATAATTGTGATTTTGATATAAGGTTATACCTTTTACAAATGAAAAAGGTGCTTTTGCTCCTCTTGTAGAGTTTTGACCATCAACGAGAAAATAAGGTGCCGGAATGAAATACATTTTGACGTTAAATAAATTATGTTCTGAAATATATTTTGTGCATGTGTGTAATAAATTAACCACCAAACATTGACATAATAAATTAATGAATCTCTACTTACAAAAGTTATTTTTATGCTTATTGAATACTTTGTTAATCATTCATGTAATGAACAGATGAAAAATGAAAGTATGTCATTTCAAATCCTAAATCAGCTAATGAAAAAAACTCAAGTATTGCATTTTATATAATACACACACACCCATGTACAGGCAGATTAAAAAAAATTCAAATGTAGTTTGTCATCATAAAGGCATATATATATTTTAATTTTCACATTAAAAGGGTACAAAAAATCAGGTAAGATATAAACCAGGTTTATGAGCTGCTAATATTTGTATTAAATTTTAAATTGCTTAAATTTTACCACTGTTGGATGCTTATGTATTCTGTGTTGCATTTATAGAATATAAAGTCCAAGATCCGTACTCTTCATGACTTGTGATTCCAAATTTGGTCTTTTTTTCAATATATATTAGATCATCATTTTAAATCTAATAAGATGAGATATAGAAATTATAAAGTAAAAAATATAAAAAAAATTATTTTTAAAACAATGAAGCATTTATGAATCAAAATTTACCAAATAAAAACTCAGCATTTATTTGCTTTATAATGTAAGTTGTTTTAAGTTCCTTTTTTTTTTTTGTGTTAATACTTTCTTTTTAATTCTATACGTAGAATTAAAAATAGAATTTTTTTGTTTAGTTACAAAATTGCTTGGTGAATCTTCGGATTATGGTAACTTGGCGATTCTTTTGGCGACCAACGCTGCTACAGCAACCTGCTAGTTTTTTTTTTGACGCCATTTTGTTTTCATGAAGTAAAAGCATTTTTTTTTTACTCAGCATTTTTTTCCAAAAAATCTGCTAGTCGAATGACGCTTATGCTAGAACTTTTATGGAACAAAAGTGCTTATCATGATGAAGATTAGGTGTGAAATTGGGAGAAAGTGCAGAATCACCCACTGCTTGCCGCGTTTTTAAGAATTGCACATACACGGTATCCACGTACACGTTGACCTATTTTCACTTAAAAAAACATCTCAGAATTGCACAAAAATGGCATTGCGCACACTCTTGACTTTATCCATGTACACTGCTAAAGTCCTAGCTAGTAACGCCTTACCAAAATGTCGCCAAACTACCTGTTACCATATTCCAAAGATTAGCCAATTGCTTTCTTCAAGTCACTTGTTTGCCATATCAGAATTTTTCCATTTTGAATGACCTCTGTGTCACTTTCTTGGATATCAGCAGCAGTGTTTTCTGGATTTAGAACCATACTACAGATTTCACTACCTGCTAGTTAATTAATGATTGGGAAATTGTCGTCTCAATGAAAACTTTTGTTACATCATCATTTATTGCCACTTCTCTACATTATTTCACAAATTCCATTACTTGGAAAATTTCGCTTTTTTTGGTTTGCGATTTCAGAAAACCTTCCAATTTGTGACTATCATCATAAAACTTTGCTACCATCCACTGTACTCTGTTGGCAGTGTATCATGAGATTGTCGGCTAAAGCAGGTTACATTATGTTGCAGGTGTTGTTTATGATATTTTATATAATTTTATGTTGTTACATCCAATAGAATAAAATGTTTCTCAGAAGATATAATTTGCTGCTCAAATTGGAGTGCTTATGAATTGACGGTGCTACTTTGGTAGATGGTTGCACGGATTTTGGCTTTTTTTTTTTTTTTTTTTTTTTTTTTTTTTTTTTTGCGAGCGATACGATTTATAGTAAACCCATTGCTAGACAAGTTATTTATGGTAACCAATATTTTGTTGTCATTTTATTTAAGAAATAATGCCTTTTATTAGGCATAAATTCCGCATTTTAAATATTATTTATGGCTTCTAAATATTAAAAAATCAATTTAATTCTGCGTTTTTTATTTGAAGTAAAAATTTTATTATTTATGATATTTTATATAATTTTATGTTGTGGATGATGTAATCAATGACGTCACTTTGCTTTAAAAGTAATTGGTTTTTAATATCTCTAAATTTAATCTAATGTTTTAAACATTATTTATAGCTGTTAAATATTAAATACAATTTAATTTTCATTTTTTAAAAAATAATTTTATTATGTATGATTATTTATACAGTTTTAATTCTATGCCTGATGTAATCAGCTCCCTGATTGGTTACAGAATATTTGTGCATTAATGAACTGTAATCAGCTCCCTGATTGGTTATTTGTGCATTACTGCGCCATTTTAAAATTTTATTATTCATCTCTTTGAATTCCTTAGATTTCATAGGGAGCGGATATGTCCCTTTCAAAGATTAATGTTGTTATTGGTAAGTACCAAGAATTATTGTTATCGGAATCAAAAAATTGTCCTTTGAGACCTTATTTTGGCCAACCTGGCTTTTCTAATCAAAGATTTATTTATAAATTGTTACAAGGGTCAGAGGAAATAAATTTATTTTAAATTTTTGGAGGAAACCTCACTAATTGCTTCTTCAATCAAGTGCGAGAAATTTGGATCGCAGATGAAGATCGTTAAAAGAGCCGATTCTAAGGACGGCCGTATATGGTATTGTGGTTCACAATGGAAGAAATAACAGTTGTAATGGTAAAAAAAGTATTAGACATTCCTCCTTTTTTACCAGCAGTCATTTTAGCTGTAGTGTACGAAGCGTTCTTATTTGCTTATTTTAAAGTAATTGAATTTAAATAATATTTTCATTCTTTTAAACATTGGTATGATGGTTTTTAATTCGATATTCAATTTAAGTAATATTTTAATCCAGTTATACATTTGACGCAATGTCTGTATGGTGGTGCTTTTATTCTATTTCACTGCTATATTAAAGTAATAGTTTAACCTTACTTTAGTAATTTATACTTGTAGTAAATGTATTTATTTATATTTGCCTGCCTTCTTAAAAAACATTTTCAACAACAAATTAATCCATTATTTTTAACAATATTCATTTTTTAAAAAGTTTTGAATATTATGGGAAAATACGTAAAAACAGCGTTTTTCAAGATGGCTGACAATTGTTAAAACTGCGCCAAAGTAAATCGCCAAAAATCCGTGCAACCGTCTACCAAAGTAGCACCGAATTGACTTATTTTACTATGTACCGGTGGTAGTTGTTTTCATCTCTAACATGAATAATCTGAGAGTTGTCAGTGCATAGATTTATTATAGCTCGTGCTTGTTTATGCCCCTTTAAAAATTCATCATCTGGTGTAGAAGATGGGAGAATAAAAAACATCATCTAACCCAGTTTTTGTTGAATGTGGAATTTCCAAGTAGTGTAATTTTCGGAATTCAGTTTCATTATTTGCATGCAATCTTTAGACTTGACAGTGCCATTATTAATTCTTATTTAGCAGTTTCAGAAAATTTGCTGCTCAAATTGGAGTGCTCATGAATTAACATTAGTTTTTGTTATGTACCAGCCGTAGTCATTTTCATCTCTATAATGAATAATCTGAGAGTTGTCAATGCATAGATTTATTATAGCTCGTGCTTGTTTATCCCTTTTTAAAAATTCATCATCAGGTGTAGAAGATGAGGGAACGAAGAACGTCATCTAACTCAGTTGTTATTGTTGAATGTTGAATTTCCAAGTAGTGTAATTTTCAGAATTCAGTTTCATTATTTGCATTCAATGTTTAGATTTGACTGTGCCAGTATTAATTTTTATTTAGCAGTTTCAAAAAGTTTATATATTATATGCACAGTTTTAAATTTTAGTTTCCGGATTTACAACTTCAGTCTCAATAATAAATGAAGAATAATGATAGCAAAGTTAGCTTACCTTTTGTGCACCAGCAGCTTTGTTAAGTTTCCGAAACTAGACTTGGTGTAAGGGATGTATCCATTAATAATAGGATGCGTATTTACACACAAATCACATTTATTCAGCTGTAACTAAAATAATATTAAAGCGACAAATACATTAATATTGCATACAAGCACACACAAAAGTTTGATGAAAAGGATCATGGTATATAATAATTGGGTGCTAATGACGTGGTTGACATGCACATGCCTTGGCATTTTTAGGGTTACCAGAAGTTATTCTTCTCAAATGCCTGATTAATTTACAACGCTTATAACTTAAACGATTCCCTTTTTCACACATCGAGGGAGCTGTATTGCTTTCACTTAGCATGTAAAATCCGTAGATCTAATGATCCTCCAAAACATGCATGCAAAGAACAGAAAACCTGTCTTTTTGAGTAATGTTTTCATAAAAATTCTAAACCAAAGAGACTTAAAGTTCAAGTTTAAAAAAATGAGACCAAAAAGATAATTTTCTTTGGGGGGGAGTTGTTAAAAACTGACAAGCTCCAGTTATTTTAGGCATAAAATTCCTCAATGTGACGGGGGCATAAGTTAATTTTCAGGAAACAACAGATCAATCACAGATGCAAGCCAAGTACTGGGAAGTAGGGCAATCACCCATCTTGGAGTAGGGGCATATGCAACCTGAAGACAAGAAGAAACTAGAAGACGTGATATTAAATTTTACTGATTTATTTTCTGATCAACTGGCCTAACCCAAATAGTGCAGCGTCAAATTCAGTTAAAAAGTAACGGCTCCTGTAGCGCAGTGCCTAACCGGTATGATAAAGAAGATAATTAAGCAACATACGAAAAAATGTTAAAAAATAAATTACTTATCCCCATAAGCAGTTCGTATGTTAGTCTAGTAGTGTTATGCCACAAGAAGAATAATTTACATGCGACTGGGTTTAAAACTTTAACACGTTGACTGCCCTACACGAGATAACACGTATTAGCGCTTTTCAGGATGCCCAATATGAGTTATCTCGTAGTTTTGTGACTTGCCACTTTTGCGTCGCTACGAGTTACTTACTCGCTTAGCGCTTGTTTTACGTGTATCTAGGCGGTAAGTCGAAGCATGTCTGTACGAATCAACTTGTAGTGGACTTCTGCGAAGAGCTTTGTCTAACAAAAGCCGACTATGAGATAATTCGTAGGATCCTTTTCTCT